CCACGATGGAGAACAAGCCCATCGTTACCTGTGAGTGACCTGAGAGCGAGGCGAAGAGGCGGCTGGATGGTCGGGGGCGAGTCTGCGGCAGGGCCGTTCCGTGCAGCCCCCGCCCAGGGTCACCGGCGAGGGGCGGGAACCCTTGGCGCCGGGAGAGGCTTATTTTTTGCCCGGGGGGAAGGCGCCCCTGTGTCGGGTGTCTGCACGGAGGTTTAGCTGCGGGTGTCTTGCGGGTGTCTTGCGAAGTGTCGGGCCACCGTCGTGGGGTTAACCGGAGAGCCGAGGTCTACTTCAGCCTATACCACCGAGGCTCGGCTTACGGCACCGACGATGCACTGGGGCAACCCGTGCTGAGGCTCTTTCTCTTCGGTGCTTGTTCAAACATTCAACACGGAGGCACTTCTTGGAGAGAAATCTATTAACACTTATTGTACTTGGATGTCAAACGATTCCACACGTGTCTCTTTCATAGGAGGGACGAACAGCTAGAAGGATGGATATGTATCACATTGGTTGTCTCTTGTAGTTCAAACGAATCCCACACCCACAGACATTGTGCTGTATTTGTCTCAGTTTCACCTTTCCTCTCAAAATAAAACAAACCTAGGAAAAGTGGATGTGATAGAAAGGAGTTGCCCAAAGGAACTCTGGAAATCTGGGTTTGGGAAACTCAGATGTAAAGCAGAGAATTCACTGGCCCCAAAATCTCTCAGTTGTATGATGTATATAGCTATGCGAAATTTGCATAATCGAGCCTTTTGCTGTATGCTAGCAAAAGCATATCTGTTTCTGCACCTATAAAAGTAATAGGCTGGTGTTCTGAGAAATGCTTGAGGTTATCCTAATTGGCTTACTATCATTTGGAGAGGGCTATGTTATAACTATTATAATGTAAAAAGGTGGAAATGTAAAAGAACCTTTTTCACTTTTCAGTCTCAAGTTGTAGTGTTTTTTAAACCACCAGTTTACTACTGGTGGTACATTTTAAAGAGATGAACGTAAGCTATAATGAAGACCCATTTTGAAGCAGGTAATACTATTTTCAATGGTGAGAAAATTTACAGTCAAGTTATATATTGTTTCATCATCTATATTTCTTTGAAACAAGTGGAGCAGAAGTCTGAGCTGTTGTAGAAATTCAGTATAAATACATTTCTAGTAGGTTTTGATTCATGCAGAGTATTCAGTCTTACAATTTTAGCTCTGAAGTTTTGTAATATTAAAATAATTAGTTTGTGTTATGTGTGATGAACAATAACAGCTTGTCTAATGCTAAGTAGGAAATGTGTGGTGGAAGCATATGATTTCCTTGCTCACTGCACTAGCTCTTAATATTTTTAAGCTTATATTTATTGACTTCTTAGTAGCAACCCTACCTGACATAAAGTAAACACTGATGCTTGCATTTGATTACGTGCATAAAGCACAACATGTTTGTTTGTATCGGAGATTAGTCTGAATTTTCTCAATATAGTTATCTTACAGTTTTAGCTTCATTCTGTTTAATAAAAGGCAGCACAGTTCATATTTCTATTATAGACAAACTAAATGTTATAACTGAACTGGAATTTTACTGCTAGTTGAACGTTAAGCCTTAAAACTTAGAAAAGACTGTTTCACAGAAATAGCTGAACTGAGGGAAGTCTGTACAGTGTTAAAATTACTTTATGTATACTATTTCAGCAATTTTAACTCTTTAAGGTCTGCAAGGGGGAGAATGCCTTCAGTATCCCACAACTGAGAAAGTTAGGATGTGTGGGCTTTCTTTGATTACATATCGTTTTGCAATGCCCTTTTTCCTGGCTTTTTGTTTTCATATTTGGGACTTCAACAGCCTGAGCATGCCTTTTATCCCATAAATGCCTCTCTGTCAATGTATAAGAGGGATCTCCCTCCATCCTTGGGCCTGTTCACCCATACCAGCTCTACCTGGGGTGCACTCAGGAGGAATTGCTTTCACAGGTACTTAGTGCTACAGTCTTCTTTCTTCCTTGTCTCCCAACCAGGCAGATAGGACCAACCATGAAAGAAAGAAAATACCTTCTGTTTTCTACTAGTGAAAGAAAACACAAGATTATTTTAAGGCTGGCAACTAGCAGTCAGTTTGCAAAGGCCTAGGCCATCTAAATGAAGTGGTCCCAGTGTCTTCTATTTCTTTCCCTGGGAAGACTCTAAGACTAAAAAGCTCAAGCAAGTTTTGGAGGCTAGTTAATCTCAAAGGGGAAAGAAGTTGTGTTACACAGGAATTTAGCTGAATGTTCCTTCTGAGTTTTTGTACTAGCAGGTAAGATAGTTAAGACTTTTCTGGAGCCGGTAGCTTACAAATAAAGTAAATAAGATATTGAATTCCAGTCACTTGTGTGTGTGTGTTCTGCTCTTATTAGGATCTCTGAAGCTTGTCTGTGTCCATTACACAGTTACTGCAATTATTGTGTACATTGTAGAAGAGCTGTGTTAGTCTATAGTGGCAAAAAATTAGGAATCTGATAGCACCTTTTGCAACTAAATTTCTATTTTTTGCAATATGTATACTTTAAAGTGTTTATATTGCATGGTTGTATTTATTTATGGGATTTATTTGCTACCTAAATCCAAAATAGATTCTAGTTCATGCGTAAAATATAAATACACAATAAACACAATAATACGGGTTAATAATTTTTGTCAGTAGTGAGAGCAATTAAGTTTTACAGAAAGAAATAGAGAAATTATAAAATATGAACAAGAAATGAGGAATGAAATACATGAAAAACTAAAAAACCAAAATAAAATCAGAAAACGGGGAAATTATCAATATATGTTACATATTAATCCAATGTAAACAGATTTTTAAATCTACTTCATCAGAAAATAATTATTGTCTAACATTACAAAATAATCTATGTCACAGGAAAACATATGCCTTTTCAAAAATGGATAAGTCACATATCTCTTGAATCCAATCTTTAGTATCAGGAATATTGCTACTTTTCAAATTTCTGAAAATAATTCTCCTAGCAATACCCTCGGCCCAACACAATCGTAACTGCTAAAAAATAGTCTAATTCCAAAATGATAACATAGCATTAACATCTTTAACACTAAAAGAAAATCCTCATAAATCTGTTTATTTACATTAAAATATTCCAGAAAGATGTCAGTGATCAACAGGACCAAATTATATGAGCCAATGACCCTTGAAATTTCTTACATCAGCAGAGAAAATAATGATGTTCATCCTTTTGAATACATTCTTTGGAGTGTCCAGTAAACTCTCCAACACAGCCCACAAAGGTTGATGTTCTATTAGGTGTTCATTCTACAAAGATGTAGTTAATAAAATATAAGTCCAAATACAGGTTAATCAAACCACTCTGGTACTGGTGATTCTGCTCAAATCAGTCCCTCAAAGGCTTTTCAGAAAAGATCCTTTTGGTAGTGGATGAGCTATAAATACTTTAGATAAATAAAATATGACTGTAAATATTTTTAAAAACGAGTTTTGTTTGCTCTCACGTAGAATTTAGCAGGGTTTATTTCCTGTTGAGTGTGTATTTAATTGTCCTGTGAGATACCTTATAAAACCATACAGAGAGTAAGAATTAATAATGTTTTGTAATAGCTAGCTGGGCACTTCTTAAAAGAGAATATGTTTTAACTCTGGCACAGGAGTTTGTGATTTATTTGTAAATAATTGGCAATGGGTTGGTGTTAAAATGTGGGCCTAATTTAGTTGGCTGATCACTAAAAGCTAGATAAGATCAGACCTGGTTAGTACCTGGATGGAGGGACCATTAAGAAGTCTCATGACTGTAGGCAAGATTGGGAAGTAGCAATAATAATAATTGAAAAGGCAATGTCAAAATCACTTTTATATTGTTGCAGAGAAAATTACATGAGTATGTCCCTGAAGTCAGTGGAAGTCAGGGTTGGCTTGAAGAATAATTTAACTTCATCTGGAGCCTTTAGCCTTCTTCATTGTCATTAGAGTCAGATAGGACTATTGATGCTAGTCAACTTTAAATCATAAAGTGTTAAGTGTTGGTCTGAGTTAAAACTTTTGGTCACATATTACTTTAACTTGCTTTTAGTATAGTTTTTAATACAATACAATACAATACAATACAATACAATACAATACAATACAATACAATACAATACAATACAATACA